AGGAAGATGGGGCAATCTACTTCCGTAGTGATACTGCCTTGGAAACCCAAGGAGGGGTCGCTATGAGTCAGATCTGACTCGATGGCAGTGAGTTTGGTTTTTGGTTTTTAGATAACTAAGACTTTGGTACCAGGAGTGGAGTGCTGCTCTAACAGATACCTAAAATGTAGAAGTGGTTTTGCAGTTGGGTAATGGGTAGAGGATGGAAGAATTTTAAGGTACCTCATGGTAAAAGCCTAGATTGCCTTGAAGAGACTGTTGGTGGAATTACGGATCTCAGAGGCAATTCTGGAGGGCTCAGATGAGGATAGCTGTAACACTGGAGACAGTGCAGATGGTGAGAAGCACTGGCAGAGTAATAGTGGCAGCAGAACCAGGAGACCAATGCAAGATGGCATTAAGAGCTCACTCATGAGCAAGAGAGCTGAATGCTTTTGGGCAGAAGGCTTCTTGGCAAAGTGGAGTGCCTCTGGGCACTTGTCAGTGGTTCTAGGCTTGTCAACCCATGGAGCTGAGCTCCTTCAAACCAAGGAGTGGTGTGCCTCCAGGCATTTATCAGTAGAACTAGACCTTTGTAACACTTGCCCAAGTAGGGCAGAAGCCAAGCCAGCCCAAGAGGTCTGAAGGGCCACAGGGTCAAGAGGCCAAGGAATCAGGAAGCAGAAGCTGAAGAGACCAGAAGCACAAGAAGCAGCGCTGCCTCAGCCTCAAAGGGTAGGGTCACAACCTACAGGGTCTCAAAGGGTGTGCCCATGGCCTCTGGGGTTTCAAAGGGTGGGGCCGCAGCCTCCTAGGTTTGAAAAAAGTCACCAGGTCGATTCTGAAGTGTGGGGCTGCTATTCTTGAGTGTGAGGGTAAGGGGCCAGACCCACTGCCCAAAGCTGAGGGGGCAGGGCTGCCATGCCCAAGGGGCAAAAGAATAGGGCCTGCCTGGGCCAAGGGAGGGAGCTCTGGTGGCATAGTGCCTAAGGCACTTGACTGCTAACCAGAAGGCTGGTAGTTCAAACCCATCAGCCCCTCCCCAGAAGGAAGGTTGGGCAATCTAATCTACTGTAGTGATACTGCCTCAGAAACCCAAGGAGGGGTTGCTATGATTCAGATCTGACTCGATGGCAGTGAGTTTGGTTTTGGTTTTTGGGCCAAGGGACTGGGGTTGCCACTCAGTTGGACTAGGAAAATGGAGCTACCTAATGCCCAGGGAGCAAAGTTGCCCTGCCAATGGTCCTGGAAGACAGAGCTGAAGCCCAGAGCTGAGGGGCCTTCACTGAGAATACAGAAAGCATGGCCAACACCATGTCTGCAGGACAGGCCGTTGCCTAGATGGTCTCAGAGACAGAGGATTATTTTCAAACCTTGAGAACTAATGTAAATAGTTTTGCTTTTTTTTTTTACTTGTTATCCCTTCTTTTCCTTCAGTTTCTCCCAGTTGTAATGGAAATATCTACCTTCTTCTGTTCTACCATTGTACTTTGGAAGCAGATAACTTATATTCTATATTCACAGATGAAGAGGAATTTTGTCCCAGGATGGAATTTGGACTTGGAGTTGATTTAAGACTTTTCAGATGATCTGATGGGTAAAAGTGTTTTGCTTGTGGCAAGAACATGAGTTTTGGGGGCCAAAGGGTGAAATGTCATGGATTGAATTGTGTCCTCCAAAAATACATGTCAACTCAGCTGGGCCATGATTTTCAGTGGTTTGGCAGTTACATGATGATGTAATCATCCCCATGATGTAATCAGCCAATCAATTGTAAGGGTATTAGGGCAGGATGGAACATCCTTACTCAAGTCATAGCCCTGATTCATTATAAAGGCAGCTTCCCTGGGCTGTGGCCTGTATCACCTTTTATCTTACAAGAGATAAAAGGAAAGAGAAGCAAGCAGAAAACGAGGGACCTCAGTACCACCAAGAAAGAAAAACTGAGATCATGTCCTTTAGACCCAGGTCCCTATGCTGAGGATCTCCTAGACCCATGGGAAGACTGATGCCAAACACATGCACGTCTCCAAGAGATATCAGGCCTGCAGATGTTGAAAGGAGACAAGGACATTTCACCAGAGCTGACAGAGAGAAAGCCTTCATCTAGAGCGGGCACCCTGAATTTGAACTTGTAGTTTTCTAAACTGTGAGAGAAAAAGTATCTGTTTGTTAAAGCCATCCACTTGTGCTATTTCTATCATAGTAGCACTGGATAGCTAAGACAACCTCACTCACTCACCATGGTGGGATGAGGAGCTAGAGATAACTCTGGATCTCTCTTATCCAGTGGAGTCAAGTGATGACAGGTGTTTTTATGGGACTCTGCCCCATCTCCTCTGTCTACTTGTGTTCTAGGAACCTCTTGGTAACAACTTTGGACTGGTGCTCCCTGAACAGAAGGGGCTGACAGCACTGGAGGAGGATGAGATGTGGGAGTGTGACAATATGAGAGGAAGGGGTTCCTATGTCTGGGGGCAAATGAGGACTGCAAAAAAAGCCCAGTTACTCAGAATATTGTTTATTTTATAATATTTAACTTTATTGGTTTTCTAATCATAAAAGAAAAACCAAGATAAATAATACACAGTATAACCAAAAATCAAATGCACTATAAAGAAGAAAATAAAGATCCCAGTATTAGAGATAACCAGTTAATACTGCTATATATATCCATATGTATCCCATGTGTGTGTATAATTTAACAAAAATAAAAAATGAGATCATAGTATTCATATTCTTTAATATGACTCTTTTCTGTTATATTAACAGCTTTTACTATCAATTAATACATGTGTTCACATACCTGCTGTTGTTGTTGTTGTTATGTGCCATCGAGTCAGACCTGACTCATAGCGACCCCTCCTTGGGTTTCTGAGACAATATCACTACAGAAGTAGATTGTCCAACCTTCCTTCCAAGGAGTGGCTGGTGGGTTTGAACCGCCAGCCTTCTGGTTAGCAGTCAAGTGCCTTAGGCACTATGCTACCAGCTCTCCCTGTTCATATATCTACT